ATTTATTGTTTTTAAATTCAGCTTTAATTTTTATTGTATGTTTTTATGCAATCAATTATTTAATAATTAATAATAAAGAAATTATAATATGATGAATAATTATGGCTAATTTATTTTTTAACAATGAGTAGCAAATGATGCAGAAGATTTTGAACATAGAGTTTAGCAATATTTTCTAAACTTTAAATTAATTTACAATATTTCCCAATTTTTCAATTAAGTTTTTGCAGTCAGTTATGTTAAGTTATTCGAAATTTTTCAAAATTTATCAAGATATTCTAGAAAATATAGTAATTATTTCATCAAATTTGAATACATTTTTACAAGTTAGATAAACTTTAATATATGCTTTTGCATAATATAATATTTTGATTTTATTTAAAATTTTTGCAAGTATGCAAATTCTTTGAAAGTTTATTAATTTTTGATTTATTTTCTTTATTTTTTTTTTATTTTTTTTCATATTCACAATTTTTAAAAGATTCACAATATTTTGAATCTTTTTAGTACTTCATAATATTATAACATATGTATATAGTAATGATGAAGATAATTTAAAATAAATATAGCATGTTATTTAGTACTTAGAGATTTACTCTATTAATTAATTTATATTAATAAACTTTCTATTATTAGTCAAAATTTTATTTAAAATTAATTTTACTATATTATGATTAAATATAATTCTATTATTATTTTTTATTTTAATGAAGTTTGAAATATTTAAATTATTTCTAAATATTTCAAAATGTTTTGCATTCTTCTAATAATTTTTAAATTTATTTTACCTTATTTGCCCTTCACATATTTAGATAATTCTTTTGCTATATTTCAAAATATTTTTACTGCGCAATAATTTCAAAAAATTATTTTGCAATATTTCGAAAGAATTTGCATAGTGCAATAATTTCAAAATTTATTTTGCAATATTTTGAAATATTTTGTATTTCACAAAAATTTTAAAATATCTTTCATATTATTTTGAAATTTTTGCACTATGCAAATTCTTTTGAAATATTTCGCATCTATAATTTTGCTGATATTTACAAAGATACTTGTAATTTAATAGGTAATTCTGATTACAAATGTTGGTCTTAACTATAGCATCAAACCAGATTAGTAGTAAAAAAGAATATATCTCACTCTGGTAGGTTTGCCTTAAAGATAAAAATAGTTTAAGGATTATAGTCCTATGATTAAAAGTAAATAGATCTGGGTCTATAATCTGATGAAATTAATATTAGAGTTAGATCAGAGAGTTTAAATGAAACATCTATGCAAAGATGTTAAGTATAGCAATTGATAAAGAACTTTTGAGAAACTCTTTAAATAGATAATATAGAAAAGTTATATGTGTAGTTAGTTGTATACTTGTTTAATAGTTCAATATAGATATATCTGTATAAAACATATATCTGATATAAGTATTAATAAAAAGCTAAAACTAAAGAAGTTACCTTAATACCAAAAAAAAACAACTAATAATTGGATTAGAATACTTATAATGATAGTTATATTAGTATAACTGGCAGGTTATAAGGTATCTATGCAATATTGAAGTTATATAGAGAAATGCAAACTAATAATTAGACAGTACAAATACTAGATAAGTTCTTGTAATTATATAAATTCATTAAAATTGGATAACAGGAAGTCCATTTAGAAAGACCTGAATAGAGAAGCAATTAGATTTTCAACAGTGCTACTGTAAAGGCTAAACTACTAGAAATGGATACCAAGGTCTTAATAATCAGACAGACAAGATTTCTGAATTAAAAGTTTTAGAAATATTATCAACTAGACTGCTAGAATAAACTAGAAAAAAAGAATATTAGACTGATCTAATATACCAATAGACTGGTTGTAATCTTATACAAACTATTTGAATTAGAAGTTTAATGAAATTCAAAAATATACTAAAATACTAAGAATATGCTATAAAGTAAATACTAAAATCTGAATGAACTCTACAAGGACACAATGGTTTAATAGTTAAGTCTTAATCACAAGTATTAATTCTATTATAATGATATCTAAATTAACTATAAAAATAAAGGGGTGTGACAACCTAGTGAAGTGGATAGGTTGTCAACCCTCCAAGTGGCAGGTCTAGAGTTCAAATCCTAGTAACAACGAAAATTTGCAATTCTTTCTGTGTTATAGCTAACTGTCTTCTGTGATTGGTTGAGATAGGATACCTGTAACCTGTGTCATACTAGCCTAACTGAAAGGTCTAGGCATTCATACAATATTGTATGAAGGAATACAAACCAGTACCAGGTGGTGTGAACCCAAGATAAGTTCTTAAGTCATATAAATCATGAAAACCAGATACAAGGACAGAAGCCTACTTAGAAGACCCAAGTAGAGAGGTAACCTAAACTTTCGATGGTGCTACTATAAAGACTAAACCTATGAAACAGAGCTAGAACTTGTGAAACCAAGCAAAGAGCCAGTCTTTAAGAAGGGGCCAAATGGAACCAACCAGGCCACCGGAATTTCCGAGTTCCAAAGGAAAAGGTTACATGCCAGCAAACATATAAACCAAAGGTGTATAATTACAACTTGCTTTTTCAGACTATCTGGTTTGGGAGCTTGGTGGAACTTGAATTGAATACCAAAGTAGTAGGAATATGTTGTGAAGTCAGTACTGAGATTGGGGTGAACTCTACTAGGACATAGTGGTTAAATGATATGTCTTAACCGCCAGTGTTGGTCTCGACCATAGTGATACCAGGTCAGCTATAAGAATGGGATACAGAAGATTCTGAAAAGTTTAGTATAAGATCAAAGGTTCTCCATATGAGTAAACTGCTTTAAAGACTTAGTGATCATGATATATTTGCACTGGTATTGACTGGGACATCTTGGTAGGTGTAGGTAGGTGGATGGATATAGGAACAAAGTAGTTAAATAGGAAACTTACAAGTAGGTTTCAAGTATGACAGTTAGTGTAGAACCTTTGGGCAGACTACTTAAATTAGACAATACTAAAGTTGTACGAGTGGCAAGTTGTACACTCTTTCCATGGTTGCTCCCTATGGTTGTAATGCAACTATTAGCTGAATGTACTATTAATAAAATCCTGAGTCGCAAGTACTCACCTTAATATTTAAAAAAAAAAAAAAAAAACTATAAAAATAGATACAAAAAACTCTAAGAGCTTTATCTTGAAGATAAAATAATCCTAAAATTAAGACAATAATACAGATTATAGGTTCAAAAGATTTAAAATAAAATATCTAAACAGAGATATTAGATATAACAATTGGTGAAAAACTTTCAAATAGACTTCTTAAATAGGTAATATAGAAAAATTATATATGTAGCAAATTGTATATTCTTTTGTAATAGTTCATAGAATTACATTACCAAAAAATCATTAATAAAAATCAAAAGACCAAAAAGATTACCTTAACACTAAAAAAAAAAAAAAAAATTATAAATAGAAAGATGCTAATAAAAAGAAGAAATAGAAAAAACAAAATAAATGAAAAAAAACTTAAAAGACAATTAATATACTTGTCACAAAAGAAAAAAACTCTTCTAATATGACTTTAAGTAATTAAACAATCTATTTTTAACTAAAATAATACAACAGATTGCACTTAGGTACCATTAGAGCAACCGAATAATGCTAGACTTAGATATTGAGAAATTTTATATAATTATGTATATATGTATTTAGGTTCAAGAATCTTAATAAAGTACTAACGTAACTGCTTAAGGCAAAAAAATAAAATAAAATGATACAAACTATAACAATATATATAAGTGCAAGATCGTCACAATTAAGAAAAGTAACATGGTTTAGCATACAATAATTCATAAAACTAACGGCAATACGAATTTTTAAGGTATTTACTTAAACAATTCTTATTTGGCACGTGATCATGGTGGCATGAGAATCCCGCATTTTTATCGGACGATCCGGTGCTGAGTCACAATTTCAAATATGCATGATTGTACTACGAGAATTGTCCAAGGATCGACAGCTAATCAGGTGGATGTTTAACTATGCTAATTTCAATATACTTCCTATATCATTTTACACGCGGGCTTTTTTGGATCATGGTAGACCGAAGGCGAATACAGGGGCCGGAAGTTAGCGTCGCTCCAATTATTATAAAATCAGCTGATAAAAGAACATGTTTGAAGGACGAACAATCTCAACGACATGACGGAAGAAATTTAGAAGACATCTGTCCGATCTGTAAATATTTATATTTCATAATATATAACACAATACACACTTATTTTTTATATTTCTTTAAAGTTTTGAAAACAGGTCTCATAAGTCAGGCTAATGGCTCAGCATTTATAGAAATACGCCAGACTAAGATTGCTTGTGGCGTGTAGGTTTGTTAATTTGGTGTGTTAATTTATTCATTTAAGGGTGTTAACGTTCGGCTTACGTAATTTAGTTATGGTCCACGTCAAACAAAAATCCCATCCTTTAGTGGAAAAGGAAATTTGAATGTTGAAATTAAATTCGCGCCTTTCTCGTGCCAAAAACGTAGACAACCATATAGAGTAGGATGGATTAAACTTTAATTGCAAATTGCACTTTAATGTCGTCGTTTATTTATGTTGCATCATGAGCAATTTTTAGGATGCACAGGAAAAAGACCTTTCTCAGCTGGTTATTGAAGCACTTATGCCTTCAATACGACTTGATTTATTACCAAAATCTACTATCGATATTTACATCACAGTACTCGAAAACGATGGAACAGCATCTTGCTTGGCAGCTGCCATTACATGTGCATCAGTTGCTGTTGCTGACGCAGGAATTGAGATGTTGGATTTAGTACCAGCATCATCGGCGGTAAAAAAACGTTTATACCGTATTTGCTTATGTAAAGTAATAGGTAGATCTTTGTTCTTTTTCACAATTAGTCGTATATCGGCGGTGAGATTTACATGGACAGCGACCTTATAGAAGAACAACATGAAACTGGATATTTGATCCTATCATATATGCCTTCGTTGAAAGAAGTAACACATATATTACAGTCTGGTGATGTTGATCTGGCTTTAGCAATTCAAGTAAGAATATCCATTATTGTTACCGAAAATGGATTATGATTAATTTAATTATTTGATATTAATGTAGGCTTTCGAGCAATGTACTGATGCTTGTTCTAAGATTTACTCGGTTATGATAAACAGTCTCTTGTCACCTATACAAGATACGTAATGATTAAACTAAGTTGTAAAACACTATTTGAATTAATCTCTAATATGACTTAAATATAAATTTATACAAATTTTTTTTTCGAATGCATTTCAATTTATTTGTAATTTTGAACTCAAAGCTATGGCTGCTTTAGATCCATTCGCACGACCTAATTGCTGGGATATATAATTCCCAACTTTCACTAGTTCCAACAAATTGATACCTGTTTCGTAACCCATGCCATGAAGCATATATACCACATCCTCCGTAGCAACATTGCCCGTTGCTCCTTTAGCGAAGGGACACCCACCTTGAAATAAACAGTATTGAGTAAATCCGTGACATCAATGACTGTGTTTAAGTATATTGACAAGCTATTTACCTAGACCTGCAACAGAACTGTCAAAGACCCTTATTCCTGACTTCATAAGAGTTATTATGAATTAGTATTGTAATAAAAATATTCCATGATAACTAAAAATACAAACCGTTAATGCGTAGTGTATATTGGCAAGCGCTTGACCATAAGTGTCGTGACAATGCAGTGCTATACGTTCTGTTGGCAGAACCTGACATACAGCTTTTAACATCCTTGATAAAGAACCTTGATTTTATGGACCGTTGTTACTAACTCGATTTAATACTGTGCAAAGTTCATAAACCAGAGCAATAACGCAACAGACCAGGAGTACCAACGCCAATCGTGTCAGCTAGAGAAATCTCATAACAACCCATTTTATACAATTTCTCAGCGATCGTAGTAACCGCAATGGGAGAAATCTCTCCTTCATAAGGACATCCAAGAACGCAAGAAACATATCTAAACAAAATAGCAAGCCATTAAATGGCATAATATTGCATAGGCATTTATCATTATAAAAACTTGTCTCCGTACCCTCTGATAGCAATTCTTTCAGCATTTGCTATATCTACAACATCTTGAAATCGGTCCAAACTTTCATTTATTGTACAATTAATATTTCTTTTACTGAATGTTTCAGAAGCAGATGCAAATATTGCTATTTCTTTTACATCAGATAATATAGCCTTTTTCAATCCTGTAAGGTTGGGTACTAAGACGGGATAATCCACATCTGATTTGCGTGTAATTTTTGCCATAACTTCAGTAGCATCTGACATCTTAGTGAACCACGAAAAAAAAAATTTAAGTTTAAATCAAATTGTAATATCGATATTAATTAATGATATAATTAATTTACCTGTGGCACTAGTTTTGGAGACACAAATGACGTTGTTTCTACCACCTTTAAACCGGTCTGGGACAATTTATTGATAAATTCAATTTTGTTTTCTGTTGATATAAATTGTTTTTCATTCTGCAGACCATCGCGGGGGCTCACTTCCACAATTTTTACTGCTTTTGGTCCTGTATGTGGACCCCAACGCTAAACGGGCGAAAAGTTAGGTATTTTTTTTTATACAAATTCAGTTTAGCTTCTAAAACGCTTACTTGATTAAGTAACGAAGACGAATATCTAACATTGATAAAAGAAAATAATTTATGTGAACGAAAGTACATGATATTGGTAGAGTATCTCTTACACCGTAGATGCAAATATCCAATAATTTTGGCTAAAAGTCACGTTCTTATCCCAAGAATCGAACAAAACTGTTCTAGCGTTACCAACCTAAAAAATTTCGCGTTAGGTTTTACTATGAGTTTACCTAATACCAAAGTTTCGGTTCTTCTGCGTAGCACCTGATCTTGGTATGTTACGGTTCTACTCGGAACACGGTTTGGACCGGTCTTTTTGAACCGGTTTAAGCGAAGTAAAAAAATATTATGTATAAGAGACACTTTTAAACTATAAATTTTAATTTTTAATGCACTAATAATCATTGCCAAATGTGTATCTGGTTAAATTTAATAAACAAGTAATATCTTTAATAATCTTTTAATAATGTAATAGCTGATTATTAGTTTTTTAAAATTTTTTTTTTTTTTGTTTTTTTAATAAATAAATATAAATTTACAATAAAAACAAAAAAGTATTACTTTTATTTTTTATTTTTTTTTAAATTAATCTAGTTTCTTAGAAGCTAAGGTTTTTATTTGATATATATTATAGAAGATAAAAACTTATAATTAAAGCTTTAAAAGTAAAAGGTACTATATTAAAATTATATATAAACTTAATAGTAAAATTTGTTTATATTTGATTTTATAAAAAATTATAGTAAGTAAACTAATATTAATTTATAAAAAAAGTTTGTAGAGTAGGTTTTTTTAATTCTAATAATAGTAAAATTATTAAATTTGATTAAAAACTTAAATAAGATATAAATTTTTAAAAATTATATATAAAAATTTATTAATTAAATTAACATTAATTTATATAAATTAACTAATCAAATTTAGTAGTTTTGTGTTACTTAAAAATTTTTGAGCTATTCTAAGTATATAATTTTTTAAATATATTTAATAATATTTTAAAATTTTATTATAATAAATAAATTATTTTATTTATATTTTGTAAAATTTTAATAAACATTAGTTGTAATTTAAAAAAAAAAAATTTTTAATATTAAGATAAATATTTGTAATTTAATAATATGTTTTAGCTAATAGCTGTTTTGTATAACAATTATAAGAGCAATTATAAAAAAATATACAACTAATCACTTATACAATTTTAGTTATTATCTAATTTAAGTAGTTTGCTTAAAAGTTCTATACTAGTTGTTATATTTAGTATCTACCTATGAGTCTTCTATTTAAATACTCTAGATTTATATTTATTACATATTTACTTTACTAATAATGCTAGTCAATATTGGTAAAAATATGTTATAATCATTAAAACTTTAAAAAAGTTCATTTATTTAAAGAATCTTTGGCTTTGTACTAAATTTATTAAATTTTTCTATATTCTACATTTATAACTAACTTGGTATCATTTTGGCTTAGAACAATACTTGCAATTAGAGCAAACATTAAACTGCTATACTTTTGTAAAGTTATCCAAACTCTAGTATTCATCTTTTTGATAACTTATTTATTATTCTTTATTAATTATAACTTAAAACTAACAAGACTTCTTAGACTTTCAATCAGATGGCCTAGTATAATATATTTATATATCTTTTTTTTTTAGTAATTCTAACAATCTAGTTGGTATATATGCTTCTCTTACATATCTGTTATTTAGTTTATTTGTTTATTTTTATTAAAGATGTTTTATAGATTTTTATCAGTTTAATAATATTATTAGAAGTTTGTATTATTTTTTTATTTAGAATTTTTAAGAAGTTTCTGACTTTTTAGTTCTTTCATTTTTTGCATTTAGTAATCTTATTATAAGTTTGCACTAAAGCTATATATAATACTAATTATTAATATATATATTTTTTTAAATATTAATAGTAAGACCATGCCTTTAACTTTATTAAAATTCAATTAAAGTTTTTATAAAAAAAAGTTTGCTTTTAAATTATATATGAAAAATAAAGACTCAAACATATAATCTGTAACTTAAACCTAAATTATTAATATTTATATATATATATATAATATTATACTTTATATAAATGCTTTAAAATTTTATTCAAAATAGTGCAATTAAAGGTTACAGATATATTAATTTAGCTAATTATATAACAATTGTTATTTCTTAAACTGTAGACTATTTTTAGCCAAATTTGTCTAAAAAATTAATAAAAATATATCTATGATCTATATTTTTAATTTTTAAAATATTTAAATCAAATTTTTTTATTTTATTTTATTTTTTTTTAACTTTAGCAGTTATGCTAGTACTTTATTAGGATTCTTGAAACTATACAGATTACATAGAATTTTCCTAATATATAAGTCTAGCATTATCCAGCCATCCAAATAGTACCTAAGTATGACCTGCTGCACTATTCTAGTTAGAGATAGACTGCTCATTTAACTGCTGCCCTACAATAGAACATCGCCAATCTGATAACATCTTTTCATAGAGAAACAAAAAACAAAAAAAAAGAATTTTTTATATAAAAAACAAAACAGAGATATAGAAGTAAATGATAAAAGATACAAATTAAGAAATAAAAAAGGAAAGGAAATAAACAAAAAAAAAAATGTATGAAACTTGCAATTTACAAATATCAGACAGTCACAATTGTATGCCTGTATTGGGTCTTTAAAAATTATAAACTATACTAAATAGAAATAATTCTACTATTTTTCTATTTACTTAGATTATTTAACAAAAAACCATAAGGAAAAAAAATCTTTGACTTGATAATAGAGGGTTAGTATAGAGCACTAGTTAGTCTGGAGGCAGTATTTTCAGGTTTTTTAGTATTTCAAGACATGTGTATAGTTATGTTTGTATTACTGTCTTGTTTTGATCTATGTTATCAACAAACCTATTTAGAAAATAAATACTGTTAACTGTTTTGGTAGTTTTATATATCAATCTTTAGGAGAGAGTAAGCTAAATCACCCACTTTTACAAAATTTTCTCAAAGCAAAGTAAAGCCAAGAGGTGAACCAACTTTGTAACTTTTGTAAGTTCTTGATCTTTATAGGTGTTCCTTGTAGGTTTTACAGTTGTATAGAACTAATATATCCAACTTTGTTGTTTACTTTATAAAAAACTTTAACTTTCACTAACTACTTCTTCTATAGTTTCAAAGTGCATTTAAACTGTCATCACAAAACTGCAACTTCTTTTTCAACTCTATTTTAATGTTCAACTATGTGTGTACAGTACTCTGAAAAAGTTTTTATAAAGTTTAATATATTAACTATATTGTGTTTCTGTAGTTTAGCTTTTTAAAAAGTTTGGTTCAAATGATTATTAGAAAGAGTTGTTAAATAAAATTTTGTTTAATAATATTAAAAATAAAGATTATAATATAGTAATATTTATTTTTTTTTTGTTAAAGGCTATACTTTGTAATAATAGTTTATTGACTTTTATTGGGTTAGTTATTACAACTATTTTTATAAAAATGAGAATACAACTAGTTGCATATGCAACTTTTGATTACTTATTTAAGTAGTTCATTCTAAGATTTTATACTAAATATTGTATTTATAATTTACTAGAAGATTATTTATTTAAACTCACTGATTATTCACTCTGTTATAATGTAATTCTAACTAACCCTCTTGTATTAGTTCTCAGATCATTATACATTTCAGAGTACATTATCTGCCAATAAGAACAAGAGACTCTATTGTTAACTATTTATCTACTTTTAAAACACTAACAAGAACTACTCTTATAGAGTTTATTTAGACTCTGGCACTGACTTTATAGCATATCTTTAGTACTTTTAGTATACTTCTGCTTTGTTCTCAAACTTTCAATTCAGATAGTCTGAAAGGACTGTATTCTGTCCTTGATATATTAATATCAGCCCCAATATACTTTTTTTTTGGTCTAAAATCTAATGGCCTAATTGGTAATACTTCTCATCTAAGGTTCTTGTTTATCTTATTGGTATCTGTTTCCTAGATTTAGCCTTTATAGTAGTATTATCAAAGATTTGTGCTACCTTTTTGTTCAGAATTTTCCAAGTGAGCTCTGGTTTTCTAGTTCTACAGAATTATATAACCACAAAGACTTATTTTAGATTTGCATTGTCTAGTACTAGTTTGCATTTCTTTGTGTAATTAAGATTATACAAATGCTTTATAACCTGCTAGTTATGCTAGTATAACCATAGTTACAGATATCTTAACCCAACTGATTGACAGAATATCATTACTGTAATACTGTTTATATATTATATAAATGTTTATTCAAATTTTATTATTAATAAGTTTTAAACTTACAACCTATTATTTAGGAAGATAACAACTTATTCACTTCACTAAGTCACTATACCCCTTGTAATATTTAATTTTATATTATAAAAAAAAAGTTTAAATTATTTATAAATTATAAATAAACAAATTTAAAAAAAAATTTTAATTAAAAAAAATATTTACTAATTCTTAACAAACTCTTTAAATATTAATTTTAAACTTATAGTTTTTTTTGAAAGAATTGGGCTCTATAGCTTAACAGTAAAACTACTAATTCTCTACAGACAAGGTCAATAGTTCAAATTGGACTAGAGACAAAAATCATAGGATTTTAACTTTGTAACCTATAAGAAGCCAAATTAAATGCAAAGCCCTATAAAAAGTTCTAAAGTGAAGTATAAAGATAGATTAGAAATTTCTGAAAAGAGACTAACTCTGCAATGTAAAGATATTACTAACAATATTATTGTACATATAAGTCTTTAAAAGATAAAGCAGTACTAACATTTCTATATCCAACTTATAGAATATTTGATTGAAAGAGTAATATCATGTAACCAAACTAGAGTGGTGAGTTATGCAATACATACAGAGAAGATTTGTGACAAAGAATTAGTCTAACTAAAATTAGAATATCTTAGACAGATACTCCTAAAATACTTGATAAATATTTTTCAAAGCAGTTATACATCACAACTTAGATAATAAGTACTATATTTATATATAATAAGTTAAGATTTTAGGCCTTTTTGCAACATTAAGCTAGTAGTACATTG